GTAACGATGACATTTCAATGAATAGTTATAAATTACAGTAACGATGACATTTCAATGAATAGTTATAAATTACAGTAACGATGACATTTGAAGGAGCAATCTTCGAACTGTCTTTGAAGTCCTGTCTAATGTATCCACGATCTCTTCAGTTTACGAAGTGTACTGGAAGTCCCTTGATGACTTGATCTTGTCTTTTTTGACCTATGTTTAATTTATGGTTACTTTTTTTCTTCTTTGGAAAACATGTATTGGTCATTGTGTTGTTTTCTTTCAACACTTACCGAGTATGGATGTGGCTTTTTATTTTAAACAGAAGTTTCTTCTCAAGAAGTATTCGTCAACGTTAATGCGCAAGTTACATTTGCACTGAAATACCAAGAAAATGAGATATATCATTTACTGACGTCAGAGCACGTGCTTCTCACGTATATTTACAACCTTCGTTACAGCGATACGTTAAGGCTTATTCGAAATTCAGCGGGTGATATTTACCTTTAGAAAAACTTCTGAATATACGTAAGTGGTCTTTTGATGTGGAGCCAAAATTAATGCGATTACAGTCGTCTTGATCGATGGGCCGTTTCTCCATGACCTGAATGACAATGGTATTCTCCAAGGAGAACAGCTGAACCGCGTCAACTTAACATTTTAGATCGATAAAAAGACTCACTGTTTATAAAGCTGGACTGGAAGTTTTTAATAGGCAACTCGTACATAAAAGGAAGTCAGATTCACTAAAATACAACAAGTGTTTTTGTCTTTTTTCAGGTCCTAAACCTTCAACTAAAAATGATAAAATGTTCAGTACTCTTTAGAATTCTCGTGGACCACACGGGGTAACAATGTGGAGGGGGAAAGGGGTTTGCATGAGTGTTTTGTTCAGACAAAAACTTAGATAGAACAAAAACCACAGTGTTCTTTGGCCTAGAGAAGTAAACTGACGTGTTTGTTATGATATAAACTCTACTGAAAAACATCATGTAGGTGGAGAAGAACCAATATATTCATGTTTAACATCATGTACGTGGAGAAGAACCAAGATATACACGTTTAACATCATATACGTGGAGAAGAACCAAGATATACACGTTTAACATCATATACGTGGAGAAGAACCAA